AATGACCATGTGTGTGCAAGAAGAAGAAAGGCTCATAATGGAGTTGGGTGAAAGTGTCATGCTAGCTACAACCTTAGCCAAGAACAAATTTGACAAGTCTCGTACAACCACCTCTAAAGCTAAGGGTAAAGGTAAAATACCACCCAAGGCTGACATTAAGAAGGTACATAAGTGTTATTTCTGTAAAAAGAAAGGACACATGAAGAAAGATTGTGCCAAGTTCAAGAAGTGGTTGGAGAATAAAGGTATTTTATCCTCCTTTGTTTGTCATGAATCCAATATGTGTGATGTTAACACTAATTCATGGTGGATTGATTCTGGTTCTACAATCCACGTTGCAAACTCTTTACAGGGTATGCAGAATCTAAGGAAGCCAGTGGGAAGTGAGCAAAGCATCTTATCCGGAAACAAGATGGGCTCACATGTGGAAGCCATTGGAACATGCACCTTAATTTTAAGTAGTGGCTTTGTTTTAACTTTGGAAAAGACTTTTTATGTACCAAGTTTTTCACGAAACTTGATTTCAATTTCAAGACTAGTACCATTCGGTTTTTCCTTCAATTTCAAGAATAAAGTTATTGATTTATTCAATAAATCTACTTTTGTTGGAAAAGGTACTTTGTCTGATGGTCTTTACCGTATTGATTTGCAAAATGATGCCACACTTAATTCATTTCATGTGCATACTGGCTCCAAAAGACCCAGTGTTGACGAGAATTCCTCTATGTTATGGCACCGAAGATTGGGTCACATCTCCATTGAAAGAATTAAGCGATTAGTTAATGATGGGGTACTTAGTACTCTTGATTTTTCTGATTTTGAAACTTGTGTAGATTGCATTAAGGGTAAGCAAACAAACAAGTTTAAAAAGGGTGCCAATAGGAGTTCAAGTATATTGGAAATCATACATACTGATATATGTTGTCCAGAAATGGACATGCCGGGTCAGAAATATTTTATCACCTTTATTGACGATTACTCTCGGTATACCTATGTGTATTTGCTTCAAAATAAGTATGAAGCATTGGATGCCTTCAAGTATTTTTAAGGCTGAAGTTGAGAATCAATGTGGGAAGCGAATACAAATAGTTAGATCCGATAGAGGTGGTGAATATTATGGTAGATACACTGAAAATGGACAAGCACCTAGTGCGTTTGCTAAGTTTCTTCAAGAGCATGGGATTGTTGCCCAATACACCATGCCTGGGTCTCCGGACCAAAATGGTGTTGCGGAAAGGAGAAACCGAACGCTTATTGACATGGTGCGGAGTATGCTTAGCAACTCCAATCTTCCTAAGTTTTTGTGGGCTGAAGCACTAAAGACGGCAACGTATATTTTGAACCGAGTTCCAACCAAGGCTGCCCCTAAAACACCTTTTGAGTTATTCAAAGGTTGGAAACCGAGTTTGAAACATATGCGTATTTGGGGATGCCCGTCTGAAGTGAGAATTTATAACCCACATGAGAAGAAATTGGACCCAAGGACTATTAGTGGTTTCTTTATTGGATACGCACAGTCCTCTAAGGGTTACAAGTTTTATTGTCCATCTCATACGACTAGGATTGTGGAATCAAGAAATGCAAAATTTCTTGAGAATGACGTAGTTAGTGGGAGAGATCGGTTCAGGGATTTAATTCCTGTTCATGATCATATGGAATCCCAACCTTCCACGTCATCACAGAGGTTGATTATTGTACACAGTACCCCTCAAGATCAAATTGGTACTGATCAATCTAATATTCCACAATATGCTGGAAATATTCCAGTGGATCCACCTATTCAGGATAATCAAATTCCTGAGGAGGTTGTTGAACCGGAAGATCCTCATGGAGATGATGGTTTAGCATTAAGAAGATCTACTCGAGTTAGAAAGCCAGCAATTTCTAGCGATTATGAAGTGTATTTGCAAGAAACTGACATTGGAGCCGAAAATGATCCTGAAACGTTTTCACAAGCCATGAGTAGCCCGGAGTCCGATTTATGGCACAAAGCTATGAAGGAAGAAATGGACTCCATGAAGAGTAACAAAGTCTGGGATCTAATAGAGTTACCTAATGGGGCCAATGCTGTTGGCTGTAAATGGGTCTATAAGACCAAAAGAGATTCATTAGGCAACATTGATAGATATAAAGCAAGACTTGTTGCTAAAGGCTTTACTCAAATCGAAGGAATTGACTACAAGGAGACATTCTCTCCTGTTTCTAAGAAAGATTCCCTTCGTGTGATTTTAGCTTTAGTTGCACATTTCAATCTTGAATTGCAACAAATGGATGTGAAAACAGCATTTCTTAATGGTGATCTAGAAGAAGAGGTTTACATGAAACAACCTGAAGGTTTTTCTTCTAGTCATGGTGAGCATTTAGTTTGCAAGCTTAATAAATCCATTTACGGTTTAAAACAAGCCTCCCGACAATGGTATCTTAAGTTCGATGGGATAATTTCTTCATTTGGCTTTGTTGAAAGTCCCATGGATCATTGTATATACCAGAAGGTTAGTGGGAGTAACATTTGTTTTCTTGTTTTATATGTGGATGACATTTTGCTCGCAACAAATGATAAGGGGATGCTACATGAAGTGAAACAATTTCTCTTTAAAAACTTTGATATGAAGGATATGGGTGAGGCATCTTTTGTCATTGGGATAAAGATTCATAGGGATAGATCTCTTGGTGTTCTGGGTCTATCACAAGAAACCTATATCAACAAAGTTTTAGAGAGGTTTCGGATGAAGGATTGTTCACCGAGTGTTGCTCCCATAGTGAGAGGAGATAAATTCAGTTTGGACCAATGTCCAAAGAATGATTTTGAAAGAAAATCCATGCATAATATCCCATATGCGTCGGCAGTTGGTTGCTTGGGATATATCCAGGTTTGTACTAGGCCGGATATTTCCTTTGCTGTCGGGATGTTGGGCCGCTACCAGAGTAATCCAGGTCTGGACCACTGGAGAGCTGCTAAGAAGGTCATGAGGTATCTTAAGGGAACAATTGATTACAAGCTTGTGTATAGAAGAACTGACAACTTGGAAGTTGTGGGTTATTCTGACTCGGACTACGCCGGTTGTGTTGATTCAAGGAAATCGACTTCGGGATATATTTTTATCATGGTCGGTGGAGCTGTTTCTTGGAAGAGCGCCAAACAAACTTCGGTCGCTACTTCTACTATGGAGGCCGAGCTCATTTCTTGTTTTGAGGCTACATCGCAAGGTGTATGGCTTAAGAATTTCATTTATGGGCTTAGAGTTATGGACTCAATATCTAGGCCATTAAAGATTTATTGTGACAACTCTGCTGCGGTCTTCCTATCAAAGAATGACAAAAGTGGGAGTCGAATTAAGCATATCGACACCAAATATTTGTCTATAAGGGAGCGCGTCAAAAATAAGATAGTGGTCATTGAGCACATTAGCACAGAGTTGATGATTGCTGATCCTTTGACTAAAGGCATGCCACCATTCAAATTCAAGGATCATGTGTCGAATATGGGACTTTGTTCCAATTTGTATTAATACATTCAGTTATTTACGAAATTCTTATGCATTAAGACATTTTTCTCATTAAGATGTACACACTTCATTATGTTGAGAAAAATGTACCATTATTTTTGGACCAGCAATAAACACAAGGTTTATTCATTAAGTTTTGCCGTAACTTAAGGGGCAACATACATTGTGATCACTAGTGGTACTACTCAAGCTAAGAGGACGTAACACTATGGTTCATGTCTTTTGTTTCTTAAGGTTATCCATTGCACCAAGTGGGAGAATGTAACATTATTTTGAAATATTTGAATTAATCAAATAATAATGTCCCATAAGTGTGGTGCAATGATGGCGGATATTGTAACGGTTTCCGTTACAAGAGCCACCTTGATGGTAGGTTGCTATATAAGTGCTCCATGGTCCTCCCACTCCTCCTACCACAACATACATTCACATGTGTGCTTAGCTCCATAACCGAATAGGCTCTAAGCAATATACACCATCTAGAGTGAGGAGTGAAGTGGGAGACGAAAAGGATTTCCGGTGTTCTTCCACGTTCTTCGACCGTTCATCAACAATATGGCTGGAGGTTAGCGATCCTATTATTTCCGCTGCGTTGTTATGATTTTAGGCTAACAACAACAACATGTCAAAGAAATGTCATTTTGTAACTTCATTGTTTTTATTTAATAAATGTGCGTTTTGTAGATATCTAAATAAACAATACCATTAAAATGACACTTTCCATCCAAGAATGAGAAATATGTCTAATTTGAGTAAAAGGGGCTAGTCCTTTGACAACAAAAATGAACCAATCGAGTGATCAATATTAATATCTTGAATCAGAAGACATTATGATCTTCACAACACAGATGTCTCGATATAACCTCTTACACTTGCGTTCTCTCTACTATTTGATTTTTGTTCACTCTTCCAATTAAATCATTGTCACCTTGCAACCATTTATCACCCGCATAACTTGTCAGTCAAACACTTACTGTAGTATTTTGGATCTGCTTCTTAAAAATGAATCATTGCTCAGTAGCAGAAGCAAACACAATCACTTCTCATGTAAAATGGTGCAAATTAAAACGTTTGATACCTAAGTGAGTTTGAATGAAGCAAACAAAGAAAAGTATAAAACCCGTTAGAGACAATCAATCAAGGCCGAGGAGTAACAATAAAACCGTACCTGTTTGTGTTAAGAAAAACAGTAACAAAACTATCAACCAAAAGTAAACATGTTTTTGCAAAATCGTACCACTTCATTTACTCCCAAGACTCTTCTCCACGTTGTAATTGGTTAAAGGGGAAATTCAACAGAACAAAACAGGAAAAAAATATAAAAATAAAAAATCCCAAAATGAATACTCGGTCAAGGCGAAACGGAATAGCAACTCGACGGTGGAGATCATATCCGCGATAGGGCCCTCAGCGTGAGTTTGGTGGAAGCGACCACACCAGAGGCCCCCTCCCCCTTTCGCGAAAAAGAAAAAGGAAAAATAAAAGAGAACGCGAGACGAAGACTAGAGGACCATCTCTCTCTCTGGAGCTGAGCGCTATTCAGACACGCATTCATTCAATTGCTGGGAGTGTCTGCCCGTGCCTTTTCCTCTCTACTTCTCTCTAGCGTCAGCGTCGGTTCGGTGGAGTCGCCGCGACAATTCGCCGGCGGCGGAAGTGGCGTGCGGTGCTTAAACGTCGTCGTTTGTGGCAACTGATCGGCGTGTGAACTGAAAAAGGTGAGCACCGACCGTCGCAATCATAAAGTCAAGCGTCCGCGATCGCGGTGCTTTTCCTGCATTTGTTGCCTATTTTACCACGGATCACCTGGATTTCTTTTACTCGTGGCGTTTTTAGAGATTGTTGTTGTTTGCTACTTCAGTATTTCCGTATATTTTTGGGTTTATTCTTGGCCGTGAGCTATTGATATTTTCATTTCGTTTTTCTCTCTCCAATTCACTTCGAGCTTGGAACTTCTCTTCCTGGGACTAATATGTGGCTGTAATTGCGCATTACGTTTAAGGGTTGAGATTATAAATTACCATAGTGAGTATTACACATTATAATTTACCCAATTTAAAAGATGTATTTCTTATCGATTTCTAAAGGCTTCTCATATTTTTGCTATGAAATGTTACCATTTCGATCAAAAAGATATATTTTTGCTCTCAGCTCTTTGACAGTGAATTATGTGAATCATAAGGATCGGGTACCGCACTTTGTTACTCTTCTTTTTAATCTCCATTATGTGTTGGAGGATGTCACTTTTCTAGTTTTCGTGCACTAGTTTTTCCTGCACCTTGTAAAAAAGCCATCTTTAATTGATTTTCTTGGCCTTCTAAAAATATGTATATTTTCCATTTCCTGCTAACTTAGCGGATCCATAGCGTTTCATTAGAAATAATACGAGGTTGGTTCTTTGAGTCATTCATTGAGTTTATACAAGAAGAGCTTGGTTTTCATTGATTAAAGTGTTACTGTCTAATATTACATCCCCTTCTATTCCGTGGTAACTTGGTTGTTTGACTCATTGTCTTTAAGGTTGTTGCAGGCATATGCATAGTTAGATTTGTGGAATTAAATGCTCACACAGAAGTACGCGTTGAGGTAAAATAAGCTTAAGATTCTTGTGTTGCAGCAGTTGTGTTGGAGAAGATGTTGGAAGGTCCAAAATTTGCAGGACTAATAGACCTAAATCAAAACCATGATAATTATGGGCTCTCCCAAAACTTCTACCATAAGCTTGGTGAAGGGTCAAACATGTCAATTGATAGTTATCCAAGCTTGCAGATGAGCAACGGCGGAGGGTCTGTTGCAATGTCTATGGATAACAGCAGTGTGGGATCCAATGATTCGAACACTCGCATCTTAAACCACCAGGGTCTCAAGCGCGTTGCCAACAACTACTCGGCTCAAGCCAGTGTAAACAAGGGGAAAGTTTCCCATGGGTTGAGTGATGATGCACTGGCCCAAGCATTAATGGATCCACAATATGCTACGGAAGGGCCTGAGAATTATTATGAGTGGACAATCGATTTAAGGAAACTCAATATGGGGCCAGCTTTTGCTCAGGGTGCTTTTGGAAAACTTTACAAGGGGACATACAATGGGGAGGATGTTGCAATTAAACTTCTTGAGAGACCAGAGCATGACAACGAGAGGGCTCTCTTGATGGAGCAGCAGTTTGAACAAGAAGTAATGATGTTGGCAAGGTTGAAGCATCCAAACATAGTTAGGTTTATTGGTGCATGCCGGAAACCGATGGTGTGGTGTATTGTAACTGAATATGCAAAAGGAGGATCTGTGCGGCAATTCTTGACAAAGCGACAAAACCGATCTGTGCCCTTGAAATTAGCTGTAAAGCAGGCATTGGATGTCGCGAGGGGCATGGAATATGTCCATGGGCTTAATTTAATTCACCGTGACTTGAAGTCTGATAACCTTTTAATTGCTGCCGACAAGTCCATTAAAATCGCCGACTTTGGGGTTGCTCGTATTGAAGTTCAGACTGAAGGAATGACGCCAGAGACGGGAACATATCGTTGGATGGCTCCGTAAGCATCTTTTTTCCTTCTCCGCAACTGATTTCTTGTTTTTAGCTTACTAAAAAATTGTTTTTATTTATCCTTAGCCGAATACAGGGACACAATTTTTCTGTTTTTTAGTATATGCTCCCCAACAATACTACCCCTTTTCCTGATAGACAATGTTGTTGAATAAACTGATATTTTAGCTAATTTTTGAATCTTTAGGTATTGGTGTTTGGTTTTACAGGGCATATATTTTTGTGTCACTTTCCTATTTGATATTGACGTTTCGCATTTCCCAAGGAACATTCGGACAACAATTTAATCATTCTACCGTTTGAAACAGAAACTACTTATATTACTCACATATATGTGTGTATGCTGATTTTGCCCCCTTTCTATGTGAATTGGGAACCCTTGGAGTACTCTCTTGCTTTTTGTGTTGCCTTTCCTTTAAAATACCCCAATTGCAATGCAATCTCCTAGAGAAAAAAACAAAGGTTAAATATGTTTTAGTCCCTTTAAACATAGTGGTTCTAGTTTTTCATCCCTGCAAAATTATGTTTTTGTTTTTCATCCCTGAAAGTTACGATGTTTTTGTTTTTAGACCTTTGGCGAACCACAACCTCCGTTTAACAACCAAACAACCTTGACTAATAGATTTCTTATCATTCTTTATCATGTCATTCCAAAAATATGTAGTTTTATTTTTTAGACGGTCATTAAAGCATATCTTAAAGACATGAATGACTAGTTTTACATTGTTATAACTCCATTATTAGCCTCCAATAAGTTATAAATGATGAATTTAAAAGTTTCTAGTAGAACTATGCAACCAACATTATTTTTTTCTAAATGGAGATGATTTTGAAGTTAGAGAGGTCTAAAAAGAATATAGTGCATATTATTAAATATAATTTATTTAGAAAGAGATAAGGGAAGTTTTTTAATATTCAATGACTAAGTATGTCTAAATGGTAAGAAATAATATTCTCATAAATGAGAAAGATATGTAACGGTTCTCACTATTAAATTACAATATTATGTATTAAATATAATTTATTTATTTCCTTCAATACATATTACAGGGATGGAAAACAAAAAAATTATTAAAATTATATAGTGAAAACATACTTAACCTAAAAACGAAACAAAACAAAACGTGATGCTCGGGTACTACCTTCCATGTATATGGCATTGGGGACTTTCACTAGTTTGACACCATGTTTTACTGCTCAACTGGTTTTTAAAATCCACTTTCTTGTTTAGAATAGATATTTCATATGCATGGTCACATTTAAAATGTGAATTGCTAAGATGTCAGTAAGTGGTTAACCTGGCTCTTGTTTTCTTTGTAGCAGTTATATAGTTCTATTCAACCCTTCCAAATAATTTATTATACATTATAAGTGGTGTGTTGGTGGTGCTCTATCTTTTTGATATATTTTCTGTTCTAGTACTTTAGACAGAATATTTAAGATATTTTCAAGTACTGTAATCATAAATGTATTCCCGAAAAAGGAGATTTTTTCATTCTTAATCTAAAAACTCTACATAGTTATCTCATGAAACCCACTAGGGGATTGAGGTGACGATTGTAATGAGATTTTGGCTTGGTTCTCTGAGAAGTATGTCTGGATGAAGATAACCCGTTGTCTTTAATAGGGGATATGGAGCCTAGTAAATACCTCAATTGCTACGCTTTATCTCTCGTTGAATTGCCCCCCCCCCCCCCCTGGTTTCATGTATCCGACCCCATTGGATTCGCTATTGCATTGTATTGGCGAGGTATTGTTGGAAGTTGTATGCTGGATTCATAGTATTGAACTTTGAAATTGTGGGTACATGTTCATTTACACCATTGTGCAAATTACAATCCTGTAGGGTTGAAATCTTAAAATTTCAGTTAACATTGAGTGAAGCATTTTGAGTATGAAGATTTATTACTTCTGAAGTTTCATTTAGCTTCATTTAACTCCATCCAATACTCATGATATGAGTTTACTTCTCAGAAAGGAGGGGCTAATGATTATTGAATTGTGTGAATCTGATAATGCTATTGCAACTACGTTCTGTCACTTAATGAGAAAACAACATCAAATTACTTACCTTGATAAAAATTTGACAATTTTCAATTAAAAAGCAAAAACACTTTAGTTGTCCTTTATTTAATCTTAATTGGAGGTGGTAAAGAAATAGTCCCTTTTTTAAAGTGAAAAATGTTTATGTAGCTGTCGTCCTCTTGTGTATGTCACTGCTTCAGCAATGGAATCTTATATTTTAGGCCAGTCAGGATCCCTTTTATTTTATGGAATCTCATGATATGAATTTAATCTTCATATGATTGTGTTGTTTTATGGGAGAAGGAATAAATATACCCTTGATTCCCCTTGAACTATATGGCAGAGAACATGTATACTAAATACTCGACGATTTTTTGGAACTATTGACACAAAAGTGGTAATGGTGGAACTATATATCAAAGAACTATAGAACGGATATATCCCTCAACTATTTGGACTCAAGGGATATGTGTTCCAATTTTACAATTTTCTTGTTTAATTGTTCCACAATAAAGTTTAGGGCTATCTATGCTCTTTAGTAAACTTTACTTGTCTGACATATATTCAAGGGCATATCTATTCCATATCCCTTATTTTATTCCCGTAAATAGAAGTGGAGGGGAATACCATGCTTATTTGAAATGTGCAATTGACATTTGAGTTGCAGGGAGATGATCCAGCACAGGCCTTACACCCAGAAAGTAGACGTTTATAGCTTTGGTATAGTCCTGTGGGAGTTAATAACGGGGATGCTTCCATTCCAGAACATGACAGCTGTGCAGGCGGCTTTTGCAGTTGTGAATAAAGGTGTCCGCCCCACTGTACCAAATGATTGTTTGCCCGCCCTTTCTGAGATCATGAGCCTCTGCTGGGATCCTAACCCGGATGTGAGGCCTCCCTTCTCTCTGGTGGTCAGAATGCTCGAGGCTGCAGAAACTGAGATCATGACAACTGTCAGAAAGGCACGTTTCAGATGCTGCATGACCCAACCGATGACCATGGATTGACCCTTAAAAAAGAAAAAAGGAAGAAATTAGACGCCGAGAATATAAGTTGTGTATGGCATTCAAGGGCGATCATTTCTTTGTTCAGATCTAGGATGGGAAGAAAGGACATGGCAAGAACTGCTGCTTTGTTTTGTGTTTTTTGTTTACCTTAAATGGATTTAAGAATGTGATGGTTAGTGGTAATAGGGAGGCTTGATATGTATCTATACATGTCCTTTGTTTATGTGATTAAAACTTCTCTTGTTAATTACTACTTGTTTGCCCTTTACCTCACCATAATCTTAGCATATCAAGGCCCTTGCATAATGCTCCTCTCTCCCTGCCTTCAATGTTTTTTTTATAGTTTTCTCATTTTGGTGCCAAGTGGCACGAAATGCGGAAAATATGAAGCGCGAGGATATAGGAGAGGAAATAATTCTTAAATGGAAGACAGTTTAAATTTGTAATGAAGATTCCCGAGTTTCGTTAGGTGGCGTTTGGATCTGGTAAAATACTTCCTCCGTTTCGCAAAGAAAGTCACGGTTTGACTTCTCTAGGATTAAGGAAACAATTTGAGTTTACCGTAGAAAACACTGTTTAGACACTGTTTTGAAGTAGATTTCTTTGCCAAATAAGGAAATAAGGGAAGTGTGACTTTGTTTTTGAAACATCAAAAAAAGGAAAGTGCGGCTTTGTTTGCGAAACGGAGGAAGTATGTTTAAAAAAGTGTAACGCTATGGAAATTATCCCACATCTTGTTTTTCATTGAAAATGGAAAGGATAACGAAATGTGATTAATATTGAACACTTACAAAATTAAATTGATTTGAAATACATGATTTATAAGTTTAATAATGATAAAATTAAATCATCTCGCAGATGATTAAATCAGTTTTTTATAATAAAAATTATTTATTCATGAGCTATAAAATTGCAAAATACAAATTAGAATATAATAAAAAATCCTTTCAAGAGATAAGAACTAAAATTAAACTGTGTTAACTAAAAGAGTATTTTTGCAAATTGTTTTGTGATGAAGAAAGTATTAATTTTCCAAGAAAATTATTCTGCGTTTCAAGAGATCTATTTGCATGGTGTATAAGAGCGAGGAAGCGGTCCTTCCCACATGGTCGCCGACTCACTCTCCCTTATGGGAGGCCGTGAGTTCAATTCTCAATAGAGCGAGATTGATCCAAATTTACCCCAGCCCCCCCAAATCCCCTCCCCTGACGCCCCTTGGGGTAAAAAAACATGGTGTATAAGAGCATCGTTAATGGGCTTTTTGATACTTGAGAATGCACAACCACACAAACAAAAGTTGAGGGGAAGAAAAAAATCAATCTCCAACGGAACTGAAAATTGAACTATTTATCTATGTATCATCTCATTGTAGTCTTGCGCTATATGATTGTAATTGTCCTTGTTATCTTTATAAATAATTATTAAGTTATTTCCTTTAAAAAAATCCTCTGAGCCCATCTAGCAATACAATTCCCACTTCGACATACATATATTTATGTAAGATGAAGTTATATTTTGACTTTCTAAATATACCTTTATTTTATGTAAATTTAATCATAAAGTAAATAAAGTGTGAGAATAATTATGGTATTACAAGTTCAAAATGTTTTTATAGAAATAAGAATTTTGTTGTGTAACAAAAAAAATGAGGAGAGTAAAATATTCTCTAACATTTCAAATGCATAGGGCTTGCTTTGCTTTTGAGTAGAACTCTATGTTACATTAGTCTACATTAAGCATGTTATTAATAGAATTGGAATTTTCTAATCTTGTCTGGTCTTGTATGACATGATTTCGTCTGATCTAGCATGTTTAAGTTTGTACTTGTCTAATACTACCTCCGTCCCACTAAGATTGGGGCAAGAGAAAGTGGCACGATTATTAAGAAAAGTGGGTTTGTGTGGTTGATATTAAATTGATAAAGTAAGAATAAAGTAAGAATGATTTAGAGCCACACAAACTTTGTCAAATTTGGTATGGGACAATCTTAGTGGGATTTCCCAAAAAGGTAAAATGGGACAATCTTAGCGAGACGGAGGGAGTATATATTATGGTAAATATCTGATCATTGAGAATTTTATAATTGTTGAAATCTGGTCTGGTGCCTTCGCCGCTAGCCACCTCCGTTGCTGCCGATCAATGATGTCGCCATCTCCATCGCCGCCGTCAGATCCCATGTCACTTTCTCCTCGTTCGACACTACATCTCTTTCTAGTGTCACCATCATTTGACCATTTGAATATCATTTTTAATGGGATTTATATCAAACCAGGAGATATGAATCTTAGTGTCATTTTGACATTTTTATGACATTATAAATGTTGGGGTTGCAATTGTAGTAGTATTGCAATCTCTACGAACTTAGGGGGTGTTTGAATCTGATTCTTAAAACTGCTTCTGCTCCTTCAGGGAGCATAAGCAGAAGTCAGAGTGTTTGGGTGAAAGTGCTGAAGTGATTCTGGTGCTCTAATTTACTCCTAGAAGCAGTTTTTTAGAAGCTGGGGGGCACCACCTTCTGAAAAATGATTCTGATTCTGCTTCTACTTTAAAAAAGAAGCAGAATCAGTTCCAAACACTCCTTAGTGCCATACAAATGAAACTATGTGCAAAAATAACATTTTTATATATGAAAAAACATACATTGTTACGGGAGTAATATTGTTTTTGCCATGTGGGAGGAGTTGTCATAAAAATGGCACTAAGTGTCAAAAATAATATTGTGACATAGAAAAACATAAAATTATGACATCATTAGTATTGTTTTTGCAGAGTAATATTTTCATTTTAATGCCATAAAAAATCGGTGTTTATGACAATTTAAATTTAAATCAATAAATTAATTTGAAGAGTTACAAAAATTTGATTGACAAGATCGAATGAAAAAAATTATTATATTATTATAAAGGATAAAATAAAAACTTAAGGGAACAAAAGGTGAAACAAAAAAATAAGAGAACAAAGGATAAGAAAGCAAGAAAAAATGTGTATAGAGACATAATTGTCTATATATATAAACTTTTATATTTCAAGAGAAATTATCTATATACATACAACTTTATCCGTTTAAATAGACAAAGTGCGTAAATGATGTACACCAAGCATTTTTTGATGGAAAATGCTTTATGTACACACAAAAAAATGACACCCCATACTTGAGGGCCCCCCAACACCGACCGGACATCACGATGGGAGGATGTAAGTTGGACTATAATCACAACCTGACAGATAGATGATGCTTTATGTACACAGCAGTGTACACATCACTCTACACAGCACAAAAAGCCCTCACCCCCTTCTTTTCCACCCTATTAACCCCTCCCCTCCCTCCTTCCTTTCTTTTCCTTTTTTCCTCTCCTTCCCTGCGCCCAACTTCCTTCTCCCCCTCTTCCTCTTTTCTTTTTCTTTTCTCTCCCCTATGCCCAACATCTCCAACCTCTTTTCTTCTCCCTCGTTATCTTCATTTCTTTTCTCTTCCTTTTTCCCTATTTTCTTTTTCTTTCCTCTCTTTATCTCCCTTTCTCCATTTTTTTCTTCTCTTTTCATGTTTTCTTCATTTCAATAGCTCTCACTTTTTTTGCAAATCTAAATCCGGTCAGAAAAATGGGAGGAGTCACAACTTGAATTTACTTTGCTCTCTCAAATATTATTCATGAGGTAATACTTTATTTCATATTTTTTGTGCATTTAGGGTATATATGTCCCCTTTTTGATTTTGTATATCACATATGTTGTTATGATATGTTGTTATGATGTTGAATACTAGCACTTATTACACTTGTTATACTAAATAGATTTGTGATGTTTATCATTTAAATTTGAGAATATTACCCGAAATAGGACTAAAAAAATTTGAAAATTCCAAATAGGACTGCCATGTTTTTATTCCCAAAGTAGGACTAATTACTTTCATATTTTGGCGGTACCAGAATTCAAACATGGCAGTAATTTCCAAACTTGGCAGTAATTACTCCTATTTTGGGAATAAAAAACATGGTAGTCCTATTTTGGAATTTTCAAACTGTTTTAGTCCTATTTCGAGAACTTTCCCTTTAAATTTTTGTCTGTATCACAGACAAAATATAAAGATTTGTCTGTTAAATCAATTTTCACAGACAAAATATAAAGATTTGTTTGTATCGCAGACATTTTAGATCGTAATTTTTCATAAAGTGTCTGTGATACAGACATTTTTTTATTTTTGTCTGTGTGAAAATCTATTTTCTTCATAAATCGCCACTCAATTTGCCTGTGTAGCCGGTCAAGTTGTCTGTGTACAAACAATTATGTGAGTGCATCTTGTAAAGTACCAATAACTTGTGTATGCCTTCTCTATGACTTGTTTATTGAAAAATGTCTGTGATACAAACATTTTTTTTTATTTTTGTCTGTGTGAAAATCGTTTTTCTTCATAAATCACCACTCAATTTGCCTGTGTAGTCGGTGAAATTGTCCGTGTACAGACAATTATGTGAGTGCATCTTGTAAAGTACCAATAACTTGTGTATGTCTTCCCTATGACTTCTTTATTTTAAAGTATCTGTGATACAGACAATTTTTTTATTTTTGTCTGTATAAAATTGATTTTCTTCATAAATCGCCACTCAATTTGTCTGTGTAGCCGGTCAAATTGTCTGTGTACAGACAATTATGTGAGTTCATCTTGTAAAGTACCAATAGCTTGAGTATGTTTTCTCTATGACTTATTTATTAATGGGGTTTGAATATTACGTAGTACTTGTTTATTGTCAAGTTAATGTATCATTTCAATTTAATTTATTTTAACTAACGGGAGCTTTAACCATGTGACTGCTTCAGGGACATCTTGTACCTCTTCGTGACCAATACTAGTATCTTGAAGTCCTGTGATTGAAAACTATGTCTCTTATTCAATCGGGAGCAAGATAGGTGATATTTCAAATCGTGACATGAAATGGATTGAGAAGGTCAAGAATGAGAGATTTAAAGCAAATGATAATTACACACTTCATTTTTGTAATTAGTTATGTTGCACAGTTAATTATCTTGTATTAAAATGATAGTGTATTTAAACTTTCTTTTTTGGTCACAACCAAATATAGTATGTTTCTAAGTGTCTTTGTAAAGATAAGCTTTAATCAATTGTTTGTATACAGATAATTTTTAAACAAGCTTATTTTGTCTGTGTGTAGACAATTTAAATAAAGTTTTTATTTGTGTACAAACAATAATTGTTTGTTTATATTGTGTGCGCATAATTGTTTAAACCATAATTGTTTGTATAAATATTCTTTTTACCTTAATAGGTATATGTTGAAATAAGTTATTTGTGTCACCGTTCAAATTATTGTTTTATATTTTTTAAAATGATGTACACCAAACATTTTTTGATAAATATATGTTTATTTGAACCGTTTTCAGCTTAGACCAAACTAGATCAACATTGGAAATTTCTGTTAAAATATCTGTCCATGCCTTCCTCCGAAATCAATATACTCCGTAGAAGCTCCTCATGACCGAGGGACAAACAGTGGTTACGACTTGCGATTTACGCGAAAAAATGTGTTAGGTCCAGTGTTTTTATTTCAGAATATACGAAAATCGCTTTCAGCATCTCGAGGAAGATTCTATTTAGTGCGGAAGAATTATACGGAGTAGACAGAATATTATACGGCACAAACCATCCGGTCTACAGTCTACACCGTACACCAGAATTTGTCTAAGAAGAAAGAGAGAAGAGGATCTCCTGGACTCCTGGTAATGGAGTTGGTGAAGGGTGGCTGCTGTTCTTCCTTTTCATCTCACTCATCGTCTGTGCGGCCTAAGCTTATCAGGAGAAGCAACCGTTGCAATTATAAGTATGGTTATGGATACAAGACTGTGAAGAAAAACCGGAACAAGGAGAATATTGCCCATTTGTTGAATCCATTTCCACATGTGCACTACTCGCATTCTGGAAACTTCGAGACTCCAATTCATCAACATAGGATTAAGGCTCTCAACCAGGTTCGAGTCCCGCTTTAATCTATATTTAACTCTCGATTCAATGTTCGAGTCCCTGTTCTTATTCGCATAAGTTCTGCTCATGCGGAATAGAGTCGCGTATCTGACTTGGAGCTAAAAATATAGAAAAACATACAATTCATTATCGGTGTGGTGTCAGGCAGAGAGCCTCACTGGGGGGCAAAACATTTCTCCCCAGATTTTGGCTGTTGAGATTCAAAATTGCATTAGAACTGCATATTAAAGCAAATCAGGAGAGTGAGGGGCAGGCTGCCACCACCAGTGGTGTCAAAGCTAAAATACATTATAATGCACACGAGTCAAAACATATAAATTTAGGATGTTTTTATTTGGACTGTTTTCAGTACTATATCATACCAGACCAGACTTGAACAATTATAATAAAATACATAGAGACCAGACATTTACCATACCATTTCATATCAACAAATTTCAGTCCAATTAAAAACATCCTTAGCCGATTAACCAGTCTAATTCAAGTTAATCGGGCACATTACTCCAGTATTGGGATGAGAATATTGTGCACTTGAGAATTTGTAGATTATGTCTCTTGAAGCCTAAGGTTTTATGTATAAGTATTCACGATACTGTTCCTCATGTCTGCTAATAATGCTTATTAATGTGTATGCCAATTTTTACTAACCCCAGTCACTCATTTGTCCAATATATGATGTCTTGGGATATTTGTCCTATCAAATCTTATAATATGGAATCCCAATATTATTAAAGGTGTTGATCATGTGTAAACTACCTAATTGTACATACAGGTGGAAGATGAGAAACTAGAAAATTCAAATGCTGATTCTGGGTATGAAAACCTTGAATGGCCTTCTCCAAATGATGAAATTCCATTCTGGAAGAGGGAATTTCCATTACTGAACATTGCCTCAAGAGCTTCATCTCTTGTAGAACATGATTCTAACCTTATGCACATTGTTCATGTGACGGCTGAAATGGCCCCCTTGGCAAAAGTTGGGGGTCTAGGCGATGTTGTAACTGGACTTGCCCGTGCTTGTATATTGCGTGGACATGATATTTTGGTTATGCTTCCTTTTTATGAGTGTATTCCAAAGCACTGTATCAACAACTTGGAATTGATCAATACTTATAACTCATATCATGATGGAAATTGGGTCCCTACCAATGCTTATCGAGGAGAAGTTTCAAACATTCCCGTGATATTCATTGAACCATCTAACCATTTCTTCAAGGGACACAGCATATATGGAGGATCGTACAATGAGCTGGAAGCATATCTATTTTTCAGCCGAGCTTGCCTTGAGTGGATGCAGGTAGGTATTTTGTTTTAATGAATTTGGTTATGCTTTGGCATTATATAGACAAATTTAAGTTGATGTGTCACATCAACCTTATAATTATCTGCTTAGGTGAATCTTTGCGTCAATGGATGACTGCTCTCAAATTGAATCTATAATACCCAAATATAATATAAGCCACTTTATTAATATATTTCCTGAATGTTGGCTCCAAAAGGCATTCATGAATCATGATTAAAAAAAACTTTCTTCTTTTGGGCTTCTTTTATGTGTTTCTCTACTTTATGAGTAAAACAACATGTCTTTCCCAATATATGACTCTATTAGTTATTAGTCCCAATATATGACTATTATTTATGATCTCACGTGGATGCTCATGGTTATGTTTTTTTAATATTCCAGCCGCTGCCCTCTACATTAAATATAGGAAGTATTTAGTTCTTCCTATTTAGTCGCTAACTGATAAGCACGATTACTATCCATTAATTAAGATGTCTATCAGTTAGTATTTCTAAAAATAAGGAATTAGTTTACATATCATAACTGCTTCCTTAAATATGGGATAATCTCATGCGTAGTATATTGTAACCACGGTCATTATTATATATATTTTCGGTACTTACAATAATAACTTAAATCACAGTTAATTTAATTTAGAGTAGAAATATATACTCGAGACCTTGTTAACCTTGTTTTCATTTCGAGTACGCCAGTAAAATTACTGCCAAGCTATATTATTATCCACTGCTCATATTTATATGAACACATTACACATGTCTATATATTTTATTGCCCCTCTATATTTATTGCGACATAGATATACTTTCACTGCGATTAGTTATACTCTACATGCATGACTATACAGAGTAACTTATTTTACTCTTCCCACAACTCATTCTTTTTCACTGTCTAGTAATTACTGCACATTCTTAACCATTGTCATCTAGATTTGTCTCAATGCATGTATGCTCATTTTACTTCAATATTTTATCCAACGTGAAAATTTTCATTATCTATTTTATTTTAGATGCACCCTCCTTGTTCTATTACTTCAATTTTCATTCATTTTTTATAATGCCTATGTAATTTAGTGCCACATATATATCATGTTTGATAATTAATGCACATGTATAACCACTATAATCGTTTGTTCAATTCAATATTACTGCCTATACTTATAATGCTCATTATGCGTAACATATGCAAATGGAATTACCGCCCTAGTGATCGTCATTCTTGCGTCAGCGACATACTTCAATTCCCCTTCATTGCCGCATTTTCAGTTTGGCAAAATTCACATTTAACTGCCTTTTCCCATCTTTATCTCACTGTAATTTACTGCCCATTTAATTTTCAAATTCAACCCACCAACCCATTTCCTCTACTTCACAAAACCCGAATTATTGCCCTAAGAATACATACTGTCCTCTGTACCCGCACCCCCCTTCAACAATAACTCTAGTTTTCCATTTAATTTACTCATTACTGTCTGCATGTTCAGTATCCACACACATTAAGCAATTGAAACCTGTTCACACTTAAGATGTTCGCACTTCATATTGTCGTACTTCTCAATTCTCATGCATATTAATTTAAACCCAGATAATTTCACACACTCATACATAAACATTTTTTGGACTCACCACACCGTCGGCGGTGAATATATTCGCCGCCGGATTCAAAACGGTGCAGTTCTTCATATTTACTGCCTCCGTTTGTTTGGCGTCGTCATTTACCTACTGTCATAAGTTGCCCGTCTTCTTTGGTATTCTATTGTTGAAGGAATTTGTTTCCTTCTTCGTCTCTACTGCATTAATTGTTCTGTAGCATGTCCCTATGAAGTCGGCATCTTTCCATTTCAATTTTAATTTCCATTTAGGTTCAAACTCTTAATAGACGGTTAAGTGAGGGCATTGTATTCATTTTCTATGAAATAGAAACGTACGGTATTCGTGAACAGTGTGTGGTAGTCATAAGTACGTAAATATTCTTTGTAGTCATACTATGGGAAGATCGATGTGTTTTAGTCATATTGTTATATTCCCCCCCTACTTTATTGATATGCATATACTCTGGACCATGTTCAATGACGTGCATGTTGATTTGACAATGATGTGGCATCCCCGCAAGGCTAGAGACTAGAGAGCCCTCCGAATGGCAAGCCTTCCCTTGTCATTTTGACAAGAGGCTGCTTTCAAGACTTGAACCAGTGACCTCTCATTCACACAACAACACCATAACCAGTGACTCGGTGAGCCAAGACTCCTCTTCCTTATTTTCATTTCAAGTGAAAAGAAACTTATGATGGTTATAGTTTGGGATTTCATCTCATTGTTCCTTTTTAAAAGGAAAATGAACAAGGAGTTGTATGTAAAATTGGACGCCAGGGAAGGAGAAAAACATATTTATAGACTTGCTCATCTTCTTGCTCGTAAGACTCAAGATATTGGAAAAGTTAACTGTGTGAAGCATGTCGATCAAAAGTTATTAATGGAGGACGGGGAAATAAAAGAAAGATGAAGGTCACGCTTTGGTGCCTTGTTCAACGGGAAAAACACAAGATATTAGTGATCTCACTATACCAGGTTGTATTGTAAATTGGGATTTTGTGAGAAGGATCCAAATGGTAGAAGTTAAAGAGGTTATGAGAAAGATGGGGCGGAAGAAAGCAATGGATCCAGATGGCATACACGTTCCTTGAGAAAGATGAGACTAAGAGAAGTTTGGGAGAGAGTTGCGTCGATGGTTAACACGTTCCTTGAACAAGATTTGGAGAAATAACATGTCAGCGAGTTGGCAAAGTATACTCATATTCCCCTATTTAAGAATGACGGTGTTCCACAAGAATGTGCCATTTATTGAGGGATTAAGCTTATGAGTCACACCATGAAACTTTGGAAGCGAGTGGTTGAACAAAGGCTCCAAAAAAAGTGTGAAGATTTGAGAGAATTAATTCGGTTTTATGCCTTTTCTAGTTCATTGACTTAGAAAAGGCATATGATAGGCCACTTCGAGAAGTCTTTTGGTGGGCTTTAACTAGGAAAGACATATCACATAAGCATATCAACATCGTCATGGATATGTATGGGGATTGTACTACAACTATTTGTACTAGTGTGTGGAGGACGGCTAAGTTCCCTATTACTATCAGAATGCACTAAGGATTGACTTTGGGCCTTTTTTATTTGCTATAGTCATGGATGGACATACAAAGTCAATTCAAGAAGATATAACATGGTGCATGATGTTTGTTGATGATGTTGCATTGATTGATGAGACACAATCGGATGCTAAAACAATATTGGAAGTATGACAACAAACATTGGAGAACAAGGGTTTCAGACTAAGTCAAAGTAAGACTTACTATATGGAGTGCAAGGGACTAAGGTTAGCTCCAATATCATATATCGATTCATGTTAGCCGACCTCAAAATCTTTCGGGACTAAGGTTTGGTGTTGTTGTTCCTTTGTAAAAGTTTGCAACCGTAAGGTGACAATAATAATGATTGATTTGCATTTTCTTGATCATGATTTTTATATTATTGTTAAAACATGCATTCACACGTCATTCTGCTTATTCTTGAGTTAATCTACCCATGTGAAATTATATATAGCTAACCATCCAAAATTTAAGCATTTCCTCATCCTATTGCAGGTGACTGGAAAACAACCTGATATTATTCATGTGCACGAATGGCAAACTAGTGCTGTACCTCTCCTTTACTGGGATATGTACCGATATCTATCAATCCAGGTATACCAAAGAGCTAATGTTTTGTCCTGTTTCAGCCTCTTGGAGCTCCGCAAGCTGATATAGTGCAGAACTATATTTAAATATCCGATTGTCTTTGATTCTTTTGCCTCATCTTTTGTAGAAACCCAGGGTTGTATTGACAATCCACAACATGGAGCATTACGGAGAGTGCAAGTATAGTACTAAGTTCATGTGCTTTAACTTCTTATCACATGCTTTTCATTGAAGAAATAAAAGTAAATTAAGGTCCCACTTGTTTAAACCGAATAATCACTATAAGCAGACTTTGGTTTACTTATTTGGCTTAAACCTCGGTTACAAACAGTTTTCCTTTTAAAAAAATTGAGCTGATTCAACCAAATAACATTTACTGAACGGGCACTTAGTAGTATTAAAATTATGTATATGCTTTAGTTTAGTTATATACTGCCTCCGTCCTAAAATGATTTGCAAATTTGACTTTTTTGTCAACCAGTTTCATTTTATTCACTTAATTAGGATCGATCATCATTACCCCAGTGGCCTAGTGCCGCAAAGACTCACCTGCGGTGGGGTAAGGGAGGGTCGGATGTACGCAGTCTTACCTCCGTAGTAAAGCACAAAGAGACAGTTTCCAGATGACCCATAGTGAAAATCCCATCCAAAATTGCATGGACTGACTGCTGCCTTACAACAAGGAATGCAGACAATTTTGTGAGCCATTTTGCTTTCCATCATATTTTCAAGCCAAAAATAGGGAGTGTTTGGCTCCATTGCAAATGATGTCAATTTTTAATTATATTCTAATTTGAAATTTGCAACTTTGAAGAGATTTTAATGTAGTTTCTGAATATGTAAATTTTAATTATTAAAAATTGAATTAATTATCAATAGAGAGAATTTAACTTTAACATTGGTTGACAAAAAATATTGACTTTGCAAAACAATTTGGGACGGAGGGAGTATATATTAATTCTGATTTAATAGTCATTTACCACTGATTTTCAATTAATGAGTTTGCTTGTACTTCTGAGAAGTGATTTATTATATAGAGAAAGTGCTTAATCTAAAAGTTGGTAGTGTTTGAAAAGAAAAGTGAAAAAAATACTCTTTGGTGTATTAGTTACCTAAAATGTTATAGAAAAGTGATAAACAGTCTTGAGCACCCCTCCCACTGCTTATAACTTTTAGATTTAAATTGCTTAAATTTAAAAAGAAGCACCGGTTCGAAAACACTACTTTTAGGTGAGGTTTCACTTTTTCAAAGCAGAAAGCAGAAACATACTCCCTCCGTCCCTTAAAACTTTGCCAAGTTTGACCAGCACGAGGATTGATAAAGTAAAAACTATGTGGTTGAGGTTTGTGTGGAGGAGAAAGAATTATCTGGAATCACAAATTCTTTACTAATAAGGGAAAGTGACAAAGTTAGTGGGACAACCAAAAAAGGAAAGTTGACAAAGTTTTAAGGGACGGAGGGGGGTACTTTTTAAGCAATGTCAAACACTCCCTGAGGCTTGATTTTTACTGGTTTTGTGGTCATTTACCATCCTCAAGGACCTCAACTGACCCTATTGTTGCTTTCCCGAGCACACATTTTATCTCACTGCCACTGCTCTCACTGTTAAATTCCAATTGCACATACACCCTTCTAACCATTCCTAACTCATTGCATTCCCAAAGTGAACCTTAGTGGTGGGCACCGTAATGGAAGACAGAATGTTAACTACTTTAGCTACTTAGCCACTTCAAATTCATTAACTTTTGGTTGGTATTTTTTGCAACTATTGTCCAAGTGGCTGTTTACATTGTTTACGTCATTCTCTGCCTTATTTTATTTTGACAGCAAAGAGCAATTCAGCAAGTGTGGCCTTGATGGATCTTTGTATGGATCGGAAGAAAAGGTTTGGTTATAAAACAAATGTAGAAGCTTCAACCATTTCTATATGCATACCATAATTTTGCATGAAAGTTCATAATATGGAGCTAGAAGATTTTGGAATTTCATGAATTAGTGACAGTTTGGTAAATATTGTAGATATTCTGTTTCAGCTAAATATTGGAAAACCTTCAACAAGAGATAAATATAGAATACCTCTATAGTTGAGTGATCTTGCCTCATACTGACCTTAAAATTTCAGGCGGTTGATGATCGCACAATTGGCCACAATCCTGAGAGATTAAGTCTCCTTAAAGGTGGCATAGTCTACAGTAATGCAGTAGTGTAAGTTCAGCTAAGGTCATATGTTGAATATTGAAATGGTTAATGTGCACATAAAAGTAATAAGTATACACCTGGACATTAGGACATGCATACATACATGCCTAAAGTAAATGTAATTATCTTTATAATCGTGTGGCCCATACCCTATACACATTTTATTCTTCGTGAATGTAGAACACTTTTGAGATCAATTGTTTTAAAAGTATAGTGGAATGGATTTTCAAGATAGGTGAGTAAATTATTGACACATGTACATACACCCCATTTTCCCATCATTTGCAATGGAGTCAAAGATTCATTATTTTTTGGCTCGAGAATATGATGGAATAAAGCAAAATGGCTCACTAAACTGTCTGTGCTTCTTTTTATGAAGCAGCAGTCAGTCCATGCAATTTTGGACATCGGTTTTCACTATGGGTCATCTGGAAACAGTCTCTCTGAGCTTTAGTACATGGGTAAGACTGCGTACATCCGACTCCCCCTTACTCCACCGTAGGTGGGAGCCTTTGCGGCACTGGGGTAAATGAAAACGATGAATGATGAAAATGAAAATGTACACACACCCCATTGAACTTAGGGATTGGATTCTGAAGGACCTGGCAGGAGATAGGCGGTCTAAAATATTTAGAAAGTCAATCAGAAAGGATATACATATTCTATTGATAATAATGTAGTGCTTGCGTTCTGAAAGAGACATTCATTTATATATCACAATGGGGCTACATAATGGAGTAGAGCACTAGAGCTATACTAGGGATTTTTTGTATTCTGTATGACTATTTTCCAAGTTTCTGACACACCATGCTCTATATCATAAAGTAAGGACTCCAACAGATGAGTTGTAACAGTATTTATAGTTTTCATAGTATGCATCATAGGTTTCGGTGTATTCATATGCTATGAGGAGTTTTAGATTGAATTGTGTCTTTTGGCAGATTAGTGTACTAATAACTCCATGCCGTGGAACCTCCTTATATTCACATTTTGGCACCTCCTTGGTGTACATAGATTTTTTTCAATTGTAAAAAGTTTACATCACATTTCGCGATTTGGCTCATCATGTCCCATATTAGCATGATATTGATTAGAAGTACTTTGGCTTCAAGTTTCAAGTGTGACATGTGTACATGCCTATATGGTCCATGAATTATAATTTTATATTATTATCATCATCATCAATTCATCATTCCTTTGATTTTTTAATTACCTGTTAACAGTGCTTTACTTTTCCTCGAATTTTCAGTACAGTCTCTCCAACATATCTCAAAGAAACACTTTGTTCTGGATGGCTTGCCAGCACTTTGATAAGACACCGCGATAAGTAAGTTCTATAAAATATTCTTTCCATGAAATTTTTTTATTTTTAGATTTCAGAATTATGTCTGTTAATTCCATGGTTTTGTTTGATTGTTTTGGTAATTATTATTACTTGTGGATGTTCTAATGTTCTATTAAAAACTGTTGTGTTTTGAACATTTTTACATAAATATTTAATGGGACGTATGGTCTATGGAGTTATGGACTTCTGATTAACATCAGAAAAGGAGTGTGACAGAAGTTTTATGCAATAATACAGGTATTCTGGTATTTTAAATGGAATAGATACTACAATGTGGAACCCTGCAACTGATATATATCTGCCTTCTAAATTTGATGGTAACTATTTCTGTATATGATATACTTTGCCAAGAATGTCATTTCTTAATTGTCACCCTCATTAGATTCCTTCAGATTGTATAAGGTAAGTACTGTTGCTACTATGGTCTATGAAAAACTTAATTATTACTGGCTATTCTTTCTCCACCCTTTCCCTCTGATTTTTTCCCTTGGTCTTGAAAGCAAGTAATATCAAAGGGAAGCAGACATGCAAATTCTATGTTCAAAGGGGGCTTGGTTTGACCGCAGATGACATGAGCCCACGTGGTTATTCTTCGCATCGAGTGCCTTTGGTTGTTTGCATTACTAGACTAGTTCGTCAAAAGGGTCTTCATCTGATAATTCAGGCAATCAAGCATGTCAAGGAGTTAGTAAGTTCCCTTCCTCATTGACTTTTTGAAGAACACGCTCACAAGGCCTAAAAGAATTAGCTCTTACATATTGCTTATTCCTACAATGGCAAGGAAAACACATGCTAGGAGCTTCTCATGATTTCTATTGTATTTCCTTTAAAATGTACTTACCTTTCAATAAGATGGTTAACAGCCAAATATATTCCTCGTTTTCCTCTTCTCTTCCACTTGGCTGAAATCTTTGGTTCATCTTTAATGTAAAGTCTTAATGGTTGCTAGATCCTCTTTACCTTGCACACTTGATGGGGCCTTTAGGAGAATACAAAGGAATCTTAATTTTTTGTCTATTTTGCATGCGAAGTGTATGTCCTAAGCCATGAGACCATTTTTTGGTATCATGCCTCTCCCAAGCCAGGATAAAGGAGGAGCACGAGGAGGGTGTTGTGGTAGGCGCATGACGGCCTACCGTATAACTTTGTCACATGACATGACATGAATCGAAATATGAATATCACTAGCTGACTCCGATTTCATCTGTCAATTCATGTTAGCCGGCTCCAAACTCTTTTGGAAGTTGTTGTTGCCTGCGAAATGTAGGAAAGTAATAAATTTACATCATTTGGTTTGATATTTAATGTAAACGGGAGGACACTCTTTAATAATTTTGCATCGTACCATGTAAAACATTTTACATGGGGAGAGGGTGGTGAAATACTTTAATGATTCACTGCCAATCAGGCCCTCTCACTTTTTCTTATTTTCTTAATGGGTCCACCCTAAGCCAGTGTAGATCCCAACACTTTCATGCTCGTGAGAAAGTATTTGCTCATATATTACCCAAACATGAAACACTTCACTGTTTTTATATTGTAGCTTTTTGTGCATGAAAGCAGGGTAAAGTAGTGATCAACTTAATTCTTTATTTTTAATCTGCTTGCGTGTATCATTTAGTTAAGTTATTAATTTATTATTCGATTTTGAAGGGTGGACAGATGGTTGTCTTGGGGAAAGCTTCAGAAGGTCAAGTTGAAAAACAGTTTCAAGATCTTGCTAAATCGGTAATTGTCTAATTGTCGACCAAGCCGTCCTAATTCACATCTTTTGTGATGCATGAATATCATATAGCATAAGTGTAACAATGTAGTCGAAGGTAGATAATAGATTGGCCAAGAGTTGAAAAGAGCTAATTTTGTTGAGAGCGTACAGCCGTACACCGTACACCGTACAGCCGATTGTACGGTGCTCTCCGTACAACCAGATATTTTATGTTAAAAGAAATGAGTAGAAGGTTTAAAAGAAATGAGTATTGGTATTAAATGACTGTAATAATATCACAATTGAGTATTAGAAGCATACAATTGATTATCGTGATCTACATGTAATATATATGCTACAAATCAACTTATTCATTTAACTATATTATCATCAAAATATTTATCGTGCTAATTTTATAATTCAATATCAATACTCATTTCTTTTTAGCATTATATTCATTTCTTTTAAAATAAAATATGTAGTTGTACAGTTAGTATTGTACAACCGGTAGTATGGTATAATTTGCCAATTTTGTTGATCTCTGCTGCAAGTTACATGGGTATTCGTACATATGGGTGTAATAACATTTCTAATTCTCAACACTCCCTCACAAGTTGGAACATAGATATTTGTCATGCTGAACGGGAAGCAAAAAACCAGTTTTATCTTGCATAAAATAAAAGTATAAAGAACAAACTAAATTACATGTTTCACCAATCTCAATAATGTAATGTGCATTAGCACAACATAATTATTTCAACAGAATTATTACATATTTACATCTAAATATATTGTATCTGGCCTCTTATTTTAACTTTAACATAGTTAGCTGACCATTTATTTGTTTTGTAGCATAGCCTTGGTTCCAGCGTCCGTATCCTTTTGATGTACAGGTAAATTTGTAATACCCAAGATCTTTTTACTTTTCCACTTTCTTTAGTAACCTCCTGCCGTTTTATTTTTTCTGTGATGTACACTTCTTCATCAATTCTTTTTAGGTCCAAAGAACATTTGGACCTTTTCAACTGACCACCTCATATCCCATTTTGGCCTTTTACGAAGAAAAACACTAAAAACTCTGAAAGTCTGAAAGGCTGAAACAAACATGAGCCAATTCAAAAGATTTTTGTTATCAATAAATAAGGATATATCAGCCATCAACAAAAGAATCCAAATCACATGATAATCTCATCCTCTAGTTTAAAAAAAGGACTAACACAGTCTAAATTGGGGCTAGTTGCATATTTTGTCCGAGTTGTGTGCGACTAATTGCCTACTTTTGCAAACACAGACCTTATTCATACAGTTGCGCCTTGAGTCCTTAGAACCCCATTTAGCCGTTAACCATTTAAGATATAGGTTATGAAAAAAAAAAGATGGTTGACCCTTGTGGCTTAGGTCAAAGGCTTAAAGAGGAACAGTGATGTAGTTGAGGATTATGCTTGCGAAACATGGATTGCTATTTACCTAAATGGCAATTTTCAATTATGTAAAGTCTTCGTGGTTAATTCCTCAAACACGACCTCCACTTAAATTTGAATTTCTGACCATTTAGTTCCCTGATCTTGACTCCTATATCATGAAACAAAAAAACAGAAACGAAGATGAGCCACGAGGAGTGTATCATACTAGTTTTGATGGCCCCATAAGTCTTGGTTGACCAAAGTGCACTGATCTTGGTTTAATTTCAATATCAGATCACAAAAAATAGAAATACTTCCTCCGTCCCAGAATAAATATCTTGTTTGAGTTTGGCACGCTTATTAAGAAGATAGTTAAAAAGTAAAAGGAGTGATGGAAAAATGAGTAGAACTATTTGAAGTAAGGACAACTGCTCATCTCTTTTAAAAAAGGAGACAAGACGATTATTTTGGGACAACCCAAAAAGGTAAACATGATATTTATTTTGGGACGGAGGGAGTATCAAATATCTTAAATAATGTATGGAGTATAGTAGATCGTAAATGCTGATTTAAGTGCAAATACGAACTAAAAGTGTTTCTTGAAATCTATTAATTAAAGCTAAGGATGAACGATTTGTGACAAAAAGTTGTCACATTTACTCTATTGCAAATCAATAACTACTACACCCAAGCCTTAATCTCAAAAGAGTTTGGGGTCGGGCTAACATGAATCAACATATGAAATCGGAAGTAAAAAGGATACAAAGAGATCAACCCTCCACCCGAATACTCTCCCTCCACTTCACTCTCTCCAAACTCATACTCTCATCCAATCCAAGAAGCATCATATCATTCTTGATCACTCTAATTCATGTTTGTTTGGGACGTCCTCTCCCTCTCTTCCCTACCTCTGCTCCCCACCTCTCAATTCGTTTAACAGGTGCGTCAATCGGTCTTCTACACACATGGCCAAACCACCACAATCGAGACTCTCTCATCTCATCTTCAATAGGTGCTACTCCCACCTTTTTACTGGATTTTCTCGTTCCTCGAGCGGTCTTTTCTAGTATGTACACAAATCCAACGCAACATGTGCATCCCGGCCACACTCATCTTTTGAATGTGGCCTTGTTTTACCGCTCAACACTCTACGCCATTCAATAATGCAGGTTTAATTGTTATTCGGTAAAACTTACCCTTCAATCTAGTCGGCATACCTCGATCACATATAAATCTTGATGCACTCTTCCATTTCATCCACCCTGTCTGATTCTATGTAAACATCTCCATCAAGTTCACCGTCCTGATATATATATATATATATATATATATATTAGAGATCAAATACAAACTAGGCTTAACATGCTAACATACACACTAATCATGGCCCTCCATCTTAATTAGATTACCACACGGTTGATTTTTTTAAGTGATGGGCTAAGTAGTCTTTTTTGTTTGTTCATCTCCATCTCCTTCTCCATCTCCATAGTCACCATTAATAGGGAGCTTCTTGGAACATAAGTAACTCTTCATTGTTTTGGTTATAACTTAATCTCCATCTTCTTCCCCATGAAATCTCGCATGTCGGATATTTTCTTTAATTCTTTATAAGATTTAATAGATTTTGACGTTTTGGATTTGAATCTAGTGTGCACGCCGGTAAAGAACATCTTTTTTCCATCATGAGATTTATCATATTTAACGTTTTGTTTTTCATTTTCAGGAAGTTCATCAATTCTATATTTATGCAAAAAATATTTCAATTTTTCTATCTTAATGTACCAGAAGCATTTTGTGACCTCATAAATTTAGTATGCATGTCTGTTGGGTATACAATGCACATGCCATAACGATAAGATGCAATGTGAACTTCTAAAGTGCATATACAATCATATTAAAATGCAATATATGAACTTCAATTCTAAATGCACATGGCACAATGATAAAGTGCACATAGCAATAAGGTGCAATATGAACTTGTAAAATACATATATCATCGTATTGAAATGCAATATACAAACATCTAAAATGCACATGTTATAATGATTAAATGGAACATATAAACTACCTAAATGCAGGATCGACATATTTATAACTATGTAGTTCTAATATAAATTATGGAGATATTATAAATATATAATGCACATCATCTAACATTAATATGCACATCCAGTAACGTTAATATGCATATCGAACAATCTTAATATGCATGCACTTCTGCCTTAATATGCATCATTTCTTACAAACTTAATACGTTAGAAGTTCCAATATAAACCGTAACTTTAATATGCAATGCTAAAAATGAAAGGTTAATTAAGAAGTGATTAATTCCAAAATCTAAGTTATTTATTTAATGACTTAATTACAATTAATCATTAATTAAAATGGGAAAATTATTTTGCAATTTATGAATGCAAAAAAGGGATTCCATGCATGGAGAATATTTATGCGCATAATCTGATTACGAAATGTAGATTATGCATGTGGCTGAAATTTGGATTTAAAGAAAATGTTACATGCCCATAATCTTATGGATTTTCATATTTTTCATATATTTGGACGGTTAATATATTAGTGGAAAGTTAATGGAAAGTTAGTGGAATGGTGGGATTTAGTCATTATTCTATTTCCATGTTTAAGTTTATGGAATCATTAGTTTAAATTGAATTTACCCATTTGACCTTCCCAATTTTCCATCATTTGCAATGGAGCCAAAAATTCATTATTTTTTGGTTTGAGAATATGATGGAATAAAGCAAAATGGCTCACCAAACTGTCTGCTCTTCTTTGTTATGAAGCAGCAACAGTCAGTCCATGCAATTTTTTATGCGATTTTCATTATGGGTCATCCGGAAACAGTCTCTCTGTGCTATAGTACAGGGGTAAGACTGCGTACATCCGACCCCCCCTTACCCCACCGTAGGTGGGAGCCTTTGCGGCACTGGGGTAAATGATGATTGATTGATTGATTGACCTTCCCAATAATCGTAGGATGCTATGTGGTTTGGGTTATTTTATTCCATGCATCTCACCACACAGACAAAACATAGGCCTTGCATATCATGGCTCTCCATGTCTTAATAACGGAAGGATGAGATTAGTTTGTAGGTTTGCATGGGAGGGGTGGTTTGTACATGATCTCACCCCTATATATGTGTGTGTAGTGAAACAATTAACAAAAGTTTACTCCATATATGTTAATATGTTTTCATGTTCCTTATACTTGCAACTGCACCTTCTACACACATATTTATACTATTTGTGGCTAAAGCGTAATATGGTAATATAGTTGTGAATTTTCTGAATTGGTGACTCTTTTTTATTCTGGACAGTGAGGAACTGTCTCATATGCTTTACGCTGCTGCAGACATGGTTCTGGTCCCTTCCATATATGAGCCGTGTGGCCTTGCTCAGATGATTGGAATGCGTTATGGAGCAGTATGTGCCCATATCATAAGCAAATACTGTATAATTTTATGTGGATGGCTGAAAATATTTCTCATCTTTCTATTTAACTGATAAAAGAAAATGGGCGGAACTGTGTGGAGCTGGGTGAGGAGTTAGGTTTTGGAGCGGAATGGGCATTTCTGTTTTTATAAAGTAATGCTTTGACATATGCACACAAATATATCAGGAAAAAAGGTATCAAGACTTTCTGTTAGTGGAAAGGAATTTTGATAATGTATCAAAACTTTTCCTGTTTGTGGAAAGAAAATTTCTAGTTTGATATGAGTAAAAGGTAAAAGGGTCTAATAAGTCCTACTTTTTCAAAATAAGTGTCACATAGATATATCTACTAATAAAAAAGGCTCAATTGAACCAGTTCACCTGAAGTAATAGATTGACCGTTGCAAATCTAGATCTTCCCCTCGTCTTCTTCTCCTTCACTTATGGGGAAGATAGCACCACCGCCGCAGTAAAAACCATCATATGGGTTAATAGGTGGTTTTTATGTGTAAGTAGGTTCCTGTGATACTTATTTCAGTAAAGGAGCTTTTGTGATGAATTTCAAATAGCAAAAGGGTTTATTTGACCCTATTCCCTTTATACAAATATATATGCATATTGCATACAAGTATCTGAGTTGAAAAATGTATCAATACTTGCTGTTAGTTAATGGAAATTTTGATAAACAGACCTACATCTTGTTAACTCTATGAGAGTTGGTCAGTTTTTTAATCCATGCGGTACAGAATCATTGATTATACTTTACCTCAAAATTCTTTTCGTGTTATCTTGTAGCTTTTTTAAGTAAGTCTTTTAAAATAACTTCGATTCTCAATTCAATTGGGCTTTGTTTATGACTGTTTCAGGTTCCCATAGTCAGGAAGACTGGCGGCCTCGCAGATACAGTTTTTGACATGGACAATGACTCAAAATCAGATATTGCAAATGGGTATTAAACTACTTGATATGCTCTTCCACATTTTATGCTATGCAACATCGATTAGTAAACTCATTCATTATCCAGAATAGTTTAGCTGCATATTTGCCATATAACTGTGGATGAGTATCTCACCATTCTGCGTATGTAGTTTGTTTCATGTGATCTCATTTCCACATGTTTTATCTATTAGTATTTCTGACATATAACTGGCTATATTCGAAAAGTAGAGGAGATTATGGAGATTGAAGAATTAAGTACGCCTAAAGAATTAATAACTTTGTCAAGTTTGACTGGCACGAGAATTAATAAAGTAAAAACTATGTGGTTGAGGTTTGTGCAGAGGAGAGAGAATTAACTGGAACCACAAATTCTTTACTTAAAAGGGAAAGTGGCAAAGTTAGTGGGACATCCAAAAAAGGAAAGTTGGCAAAGTTATAAGGGACGGAGGGAGTAGAAGATAAAAATAACATAAGAACATAAAAAGCTAAAGAAGATAAACGATAAAAGAAAAAGAGAGAGGAAAGATAGAAAAGAGATCAATCGTCTACATGAATATGCACCCTCCACTTTGCTCCACTTTGCTCTCTCCAAAGTCATACTCTTTTATGTGGATGACTGAATTTCATCACGTTTTCTCCACCAAATTCTCTGAAATATGAATTTGAGTTCCAGTCGGGATTGTTCAGTATAATTGACTTTGATGTTGTTGTATGAACTGTGGCTTGGAATAAAAAATTGTAGCCTTCCTCTTCTTAAGCTAACTGGTCTAGATCTACGTGTGAAATGATGTTTGTTGTTAAGAAGAGTGTTCTGGTAAAAGTCCCAGTGGAGAGCGTCTTCGAGAGTCGAGACTATTGAATAGTGTGTTTGCTTTTGGGAGAATGTTTTTGTGAGTCTTAAAGAGTGATATTCTAATGATTGCCTCAATCTTAGGACTTTTACTCTGTGGATCAATGTGCAATATAGTGAATATAGCCTACTTGAGTGATTAATCCAATCTTGAATTGTGGCAATTTATCGAAGTATGTATATTGATGAAAAATCTCAACATTTTGGTCCTTCAACTGTTCCTTCAACGGTTGACACTACATTTGAGCATCAATTTTAAGGGTTGGTTTGCAACTCCTTTTAAAAAAGCACTTCTCAGCTTTTGGCTTTAAAAAAGCACTTATTTTCCCAAACACTACAACTTTTATTTTTCTAGGCTTCCGCGTCAAAAGTGCTTTTACTTTTTCTATTACACAAAAAGCACTTATTTTACCAAACACTACCCACTTTTACTTTTCAAAATCACTTTTTTCTCAAACACTATCAACTTTTATGTAATCACTTCTTTCCATTTCAATAAAAAAGCACTTTTTTAAAAGCAGAAGTTGTTGCAAACAGACCCTAAGGTACTCCAATTCCAATCGATCTACTGGACATTGTCAAAATGATACGATTCCAACCCACTTAAAAGAGTGTTCTAATAGATGCAATCTCACATCAAAATGTTAAAAAGAAATAGGGATATAAGTTTTTGAGTTGGACTGATCGGTTAGATTCTACTCTGTATCTTTTAATTCTAAAAAGTGGGGGAGCCTGGTGTGGGTCTGGGGAATGGTCCCACCACCAGGGTTATCATTTATTCTAACAATTATGAAATTTCCTTTGAAATCACAGCATGCTCCCCACATCCCCTTTTTTCACCCACTTTTACTTGGCACGTTTGTCCGTATTTTAGAAACTGGATTTGTGTGCTTGTGAAGGACAACACACAAAGGAAAAAGGGAATAAACATATGGGTCCAAGGAGTATTTCTATGCGGGTTGTTACATACATTTTTTTTAACTCTAATACATTGTTACATACATTTTTATGACAGGTTTGTCTTCGAAGGAATTGATGAAGCATCCTTAAACTGGGCTTTAGAACGTGCATTTTCACACTATAGAGAGAGTAAGTCATATAGTGTTAAAGATTTCCCCCCTCCCCCATAAAAAATACAATTGACAAAGAAAACATATTCTGTTGATATAACCATTCATTTTTGTTCGCATCAGAAGTCTAGGCTTAATATTGAGTTAAGATATTGGTAGAAACGTAGAGTTAATGCTTTCAAAAAAGGCACTGCACAAACTCTCACATCTCCAAAGATTCATCATACTTATTTCATTTATGATTTGTCTCAACTTATCTGTGCCAAGCTTGGATAAAGCAGGGTTAACCTGGTAATGAATGTTACCAACCTCAAGGACGGTAATATAATATCATCCTCTACATGCTAGGATTTACCGACTGTTTTTTTAGTTGCAACAATTTGACCATTACTATGTTTTATTATCTACTAGTAAAAATTATTAAGTGTTGATATTTTGGAAATGTAGAGACAAATTTATTTATCGTGATCTACATAATACTATCTATGATTTATTGTTATACACTTATACACGAGTAAAAAAATGGTTAAAGTATGATATGTAAATAAATAGTTAAGGTGTTGCAACTAAAAACGAGTGGGTGAACTTTAATATTAGTTGATATATGTGCCGCGTGAGTTCAAATGAAGGAGAGTAATAGGCAGATATTAGATGAATTGGAATTCACACTCAAATAGTCAAATATGATGAGCTACAAATGAGGAGGCTAAGCCTGGAAATACATGTTAATAAATCTGCTTATTAATCTTATGATATTTCTTGTCGTGTTATTTATCTTCCTCATTATATATGTAGGGCCACGTGAATGGGATGATACTGTGAAGAAGGTTATGCAAATGGACAACAGCTGGAATAACACGGCAGAAAAATACATTGACATCTACAAGTCTGTGAAGGGTTAAAAGTGATCCCCCCTCACCCAAATTGTATCCGGGAGTCCTTGGAATCCCAATGGTTTTGTTTCAAAGTCTGGAAATACATGTTTGGAATCTGCTTATTGACTTGAGAGTTGATAATACTATAAAGAACAGCACAACTAGAGTACAACAAGCAAAGCTTGAAATGTTAGTCTCTAAACATTTATATTTGACTGGCTGGGATTTGCCAGGCAAATACCAATAGGAAATCAACAAAAGAAGATTCTGGAACAAAGCTACTACCCTTTACTAGGTAATCTATCTACTGAACAGGAAAATAAGAATTGGGAACTGGCCAGCAACAGGAAAGGGAAAGGGTATTTTTTTTTTTTTGCTTATGAGAAAAGAATAGAAATGACAGCTATCTGGAAATTGATTCTATATTCTCCCTAGCCCCCATCTTTTGGGGGCAACTGCTTACTACTGCCGCCTTCCAGCTGGAGGCTATCAGCAAGGGAATCAGCTAAATGATTTACAGTATCAGCAGCTGATGATGCAGCAGCAGTGGTCTTTGGCACCACAGCCCGCTGTTTAGCCTTCCTTTCCAACAGTGCTTTCTCCCTGTCATTGTAGAATGTAAAATCATCTAACATTGAAGCCTCAGCGTCGTAATCCTTGAAAATCTTCAGCATCTCTATCCCTTGTTCCAATTGTACCTGGAATAACCCAACAAATCAGCCCCGTGCCAATATACAAAAGAAACAGTTTCATTCTTGAATGTTGGTCTCTAAACATTTAACTGGCAAATCCAATTTTGCAAGTGGATTTTAGCAAAAACCACAACTTGCTAAGTTGCTAAGTGGGCTCCTAGCAGTGTTCGCAACAGCTTTTAAAGAGCACTTTTATGTTTTTAGCCGTACATCCCACACATAAAACTGAATTTTACTTATTCTATACTATTTTATTTAAATAGTGCATCAAAAAACACTTTTTCCCATACTGTTTCATTTAAATTGTACATAAAAAGTACGTAGTACTATTTACCAAACACTTCAACTTCTACTTTTCAAAAATCACTTTTACTTTCAAAACAACCCGCATTCACGATCACAAATATTGACAATGACTTATTTGTATTACTCCCTCCGTCTCCTTTTAAATGTCTCATTTTACCATATTGGGATGTCCCTATTTAATTATCTCATACCTTATTTGGAAAAGTTTGTGTGGCTCAAAATCATTCTTACTTTATTCTTACTTTATCAATTAACATAAATCATACAAAGCCACTTTTCTTAAAACTCGTGTCACCCTCTTCCGGGACATTTAAAAGGGGACGGAGGGAGTATCTAAATAAGTTAAACCTAGCATATTGGTACTGTTATGCAGAATGGAGTATGAACCCCACAATTGCAGATCACATCCAATAATATACCAAAATCTAGATGACGAATTCAAATGTACCTCCTGAGAGTCTCGACTATGAGTGACAGGTTTGTTGTCATTGTTTTCCAGTAGAATATGACGAAACTGTATGTTAGGAACGTCTTTAATGAAATGCCATTTAACAGGGAATTGTCCACTCCATCGGTCCTGTTGCCAGTACTCAGCGTCTTTCTCAAAATCAATTGGCCCTTCCATTTCAGCTACTCCACAGAATTGTCCACTAGCATTGACCTGTAGAATGTTAATTACTTTGAGAATATTTCAAAATTTACTCGCGTTTAACAGTGATGATTAAATAATATTTCAATAATAGCATTAACATGCACGAGCAATTTAAATAACATAATCTATGCTAGGTATCCATTTTTTACACATCAGAAAGGACTAAATATGACTAAACAATACTAAATTCCAAATGACCAGGGACTAAAATCAAACACCTCATCAAGAGGATAAATGGGGCATGGCATCAGGCATCTCTGAAGTAGGAGTGTATTTGGGATAGCATATTTTTAAGACATGAGTCCGATTTAGAGAAGTAAATGTACTTTTACTTCAAACAAGGGTTTTGCAGGAAACCGATATGGTACTTTCAAGCGCAAAAAGATTTCTAATGCCTGTATAAGAAGACAGCAGATTGATGATTTGCTAAAATCTAATGATAAAGGAATTATGACAAAGGCAGTTGCACCATTAATTATTCCAAGTAGGCTGTAGATAGCATTTAACTATCGATAAAAGCTATAGCATAAACCCTTTTCATCCTATAACTGGACAGTTTTTAAAGCAATATCCCCCACCAGCCTTTCAATGCATATGTATCAGCAGAATGGAAGAGGAAAATATATTATTGTTTAGGTGCATTTGAAAAAGGATTGGAGACACATACCGAAAAAAACAGAAAAACCGGGCAAGTGCTACTAAGATCCTTTGCTTCTCGATAAGCAGCGTCAAGCTTTCTGTTTCCAAGGGGTGTGCTGGACCAAACTTTATACTTGATGCTTTTATGAACATTATCTTCACTGAAGGACTTGATAACGAAGAACTTAGCTTGTTCATAATCCACAACAAATTCAGGGCGGTTGACATGGTCAAGATCTTTAAGAACTCCGGACAAGGAGTTCTCTTCAGTGGAACTTCTGTTCTTTAGCTTCAAAGCCCTGGGCCCCCTGCTCCGCTCACTGGATACACCAAGGGACTCAGAAGAGATGTTGGTCGAGCCTTGTTCCCTGTCACTTCTAAAACCTTTTGCAGTAGCAAAGCGATTCTGGTTACCAGCTTCCCAACTAGACCCACTGGCATAGTTTGAACTTGGATAGGATCCACCACGGATGTAGTGTCTAGTAGAGGGGCCTGGTGTGTATCCAAGACCCTGAAATGATGAATCATTTGAAGCTAAAATGAGTGGGTCGGCAGGAATAAATGAGTTGGAGTTAGATTGGTCATTTAAACAAGATAAGCTTTAACTAAAAAGGGAACATTGAATATAGTTTTGGAAGAATGAAAAACAAGTCGGAAGATAATTTTGGGGCATTATATATTGTGAAATTTAACTCCATATAATATTTCATTAGCCTACGTGATTTCTTTAAAAACAAGACGCTATTTTAACGAGAAATTTAAGGGAGACAGTTATTTCTTACATTGTTTAGTGGCATTCTTATAATCTTATGCGTCACTCAAACCACTACAAAACTAATCATTAAAATACTGAGCCCCACTCAAAAGTCAAATCCACTCAACAGATGCCACATAAGAACGTGATCCATTTAGAGCCCGTTCGGTAGCACGAAAATCGGCTGATTTGGCTGATTCTGCTAAAATTTATTAAGTTCTGGCTGAAGTGGCTGCATTGGCCGATTCTGCTGATTTAAGAAAAAATTATTTTTAAAATTTATTTTTTTAATAAAATAAAGAAAAAATTATATGTAAAAATAACTAAAATGGTCATCTACAGTAACTTCAGCCAATACAGCCAGAAAAGTAACTCCAACCATACTTTTTCTGCTCATTACACAATTCAGCACACGAAAGCAAAAATTACGTGTTTGGTTAAAACGTTGGTTGATAAGCCTGATAAGCCGAAAACAGTGTTGCTAAACGGCCTCTTAATAACTTCTTGAATCAATTGACTACTTCTCGAAGACGAAATGTTATAGCTTTAAGTCATTCTATGCAAATAATAATAATAATAATGGTGTAATAGCAAACCTGTGCAACATTTTGTTCATACGACCCAAGGAGGCCAAACTGTTGTGGATACAATGCAGCTGATGTCAGAGGAGAAGTATATCTACCGGAGTCCACTGAATTAGGTCGATTTGTCAAAGGTTGTTCTGCGGACCTAAAATCATTCTGGAATTTGTAAAATCCAATGTTGCTGTTTCCAGGAAGCTCTCCTCCAGTGAAAGATCCAAAGGGCATGTAGTAACCTGATCCTGGTCCATAGATCATACCATCACCAAAACTTTCATGGTTACCACTTCCAGGTGGCATTATTAGCTCAGACTGAGAGGCAGGAAGAGCTTGAGAAACATGTGGGGGTCCGGGTGAAATAGGTGGGTAGTAGGATGGAGATATCGGGACTTGGTGTGGAGAATATAGCTGACCGTCTATCATTATGGGGGATAGAGGACCGCCAATAGGGGAGAATTGTCCATATGCCATCTGAGCATCATAACCATAACTAGGGGGGAAAAAGAATGATGAGTTATCATTGTATACTGCCTGTATAAGGTCAATCATAGCAAAAAATGAGCATTTGGTATGTGGTGAGAGTATGAATATAAAAATAATAAGTAGGTTAGATGAGAGGGTGGATTTCAAACTCACTGGGGGTATGACCTGCAAGTTATTAGGATTCACTTCATTAGAGTGCTCAGCCCAATTTCCTGAACTGTTATCATAACCTGAATCAAAGCCAAAGACAGACAGTCCAATTTCTATATTAGTAGTGCATTCAATCTATCTGTTTCCATGTTCACCCCCATTTAAAGTTTCATTTTTGAAATTCTACGACAGCAGAATTCATTAATTAACTTCACAAAGAGGAAAAAGTGATAACTGCATACGAAATTAATTATCCCAACTAACTTAACAACTATTTCCAAAATGCTAGTTTGCTAGAGACAACTAGTTGAACGTCCCAATTAGAGGTGTCATGTAAATAGAACAGTTATGTAGTAATCCAATTTTAAGTTTTAACAAGTGAAAAAAATAAGCGACTTAAATCCTTGCAAGTATTTCTGGAAGTGAAATCACATAAACTTGCTACATCAAGTAAAAAGTGTACACCTGAGGCAAGCGTAGTAAATCAGATTGTTAACATACTTTGACATACCACAAATGAGCAAGTGGGCATTTATAATATCTCAGCATGGATAGTATAGAACCATGGATCAGGTAAAGAGTAGCTAATAGGAACAAACCTCCATAATAAAAACTTTGCTCCGGTGAAGTGTAAGAATTCGATGGATACATGGTGGGAAAAGCTGCACTTGTTTCAGAATTAACAGGTTGATCTTTCACATTTACTGAAACAGCAGACATGGCTGTAACTGGGGAAGCATTTACTGAAACAACCCTTTCATCCTTGGGTGAAATAGACTGACAACAGATTAAAAAATTATTAAAGGAAATATGGAATACAATAATACATTACATGTGCAGATGTGTTATTTTAAAAATACACAAATTTTACAGATACAATAGACAATTAGCAGCATACCTGTTCCGCTGCAGCATGGTGCTCAACTCTCTTACCTGCACCATTGTAAGATGAACCCATAGCTTGTTAATGAATAATAACCAAGTATTTTTGTAATAATTATCAAAAGGTGCTAT